CTTTCTCTCTTGCTTGTTCTCTCCAAGGAGTGTATCTACCTCAGATAAATGCTCAACTAGTATGCCTGTCTACTGCTTGGCTGGAAGCCACAGGTGGGCGTTCGATTCCAGACCTGAAGGACTGCTAGTGTGGGGTATATTTCTAAGTACACTATGCTAATTTTCTTTACATGTTGTTAGGAAGAAATTAGCATAGTGTGCTTACAAACCTACCTGGGGAAAATTCTGCAATTGGAAAAACATTAACATGTGTGCTATTTTTGTAAAAAATACAGTAATAATTAGTTATCTATTTGGTGGTTTATTTCCTGATCCCTTCTCACTCCCTTTTAGTGATTAATTCTTTGTCAATGTCCTCTTGTTAGTTTCTTAGGATAGTTTCATTCATCAAGTGCTAGCATAAATCTTAAAAAAATCAAAGATATTTTTTAAAACAGTATGAGTTAAACATAAGTGTTTTTTAAATTACCTCCAGTTTTGGAGTATACACATGGCTTCTTTTACCTGAGAGCTGACCCTGTGTCTACCTTACACTAGCTAAAGGATAATTAGTAGTATACAAAGTAGGAGTGATATGTGATAGGAGTCCTAGGCGATACTTTCTGGTATGCAAGAGTAAACTTAATCCAGATCAATTATTTTTCATCAAGACTAACAAGAAATATTTACAATGATTGTGTTGAAGCCTAAAATGAAATGTTACAATTCCTGATAGGTCTATAATTTTCAATAAAATTTCAGATCCTTCATTAACAAAGTTGGAATCTAAATACACAATAATACAATGTGAAACGGAAAATCTCCAACCACAGAAGATACAGATTACATCAAATTCTTTCTAGGATATAGCCTTTATCAGATTCATTATAGATCTTTATGGTTTCATTCAAATTCAAGCATTCTGACAGTAAACAAGAAATTTTCACTTCTCTACACCTAAGAGAGCTCAGCAATAGCAACATATTTTAAAGGGGGAAGAAATCATTTAATGGAGAAAATACTGGATTTGGCATAAAAAATTCAGAGATTCAATTTAAACTCAGACATTCAACAGAATTGGTTAGAGATCTAATTTAAGTTCTCTATAGATAATAAAATTTACAAGAATAATGTGTTCCTTACTTTTTGATTAAGCTATTATAAATATCTTTCAATGCTTTCAAAAATTGGACATAATTAAAACACTAATGTCACTGCATCTTAGTATTTAATCTAAAAATTAGATCTTATGATCTTACGCACTAACGTCTGAAAGGAGTCTCCTGGTGGAACAAACAGTTAGGCACTAGGCTGCTAACTGAAAGGTTGGAAGGTCGAGTCCTCCCAGAGATTCCTCAGAAGAAAGCCCTGACAATCTGCTTCTGACCAATCAAGTACCGAAAACCCTACAGAGCTGATTTCTACTCTGACATACATGGGACTGCCATAACTTAGAGCTGATTTAATGGCAGCTAACGCTAACAACATCCAAAAAGGAGGAAGAAGAGAAATACATGGAAAGATACTTTCACAAATATAATTAACACTTATTAGGGAAATAAAGTTTTAACTAAAATAATGGTGTAAAGTAATCAATTAACTAGTAACAATATTACTGAGTACCTATTATAAGCAAAGGAACTCTGGTGGCTCAGTGCCTAAGGCATTTGACTACTAACCAGAAGGTTGGCCATTCAAACTCACCAGCCACTCTGCAGAAAGAAGACAGGGCAATCTATTTCCATAAAGATTTCATTTCCGACTCACAGAGACCCCTCCTTGGGTTTCCGAGGTGATATCTCTATGGAAGTAGATTGCCCACCTTTCCTTCCGAGCTCCTTCCATAAAGGAGCTCCCTCCATAAAGATTTACCATCTCAGAAATCTAATGGAGGTCACTATGAGTCGGAATTGACTTGAAGG